CTCATTTTGTCGGAGAATATATATATTTTTTTTAAACTAAATATTAGATCTTGATTTCGAGTTATTGTAAAAAGTGTTAGAAGCCAAATCATTAAATCTTATTGTGCGATCATTTCTTTTGGTGCACTCGCAAGACTCGAATCAAAGCTATAATGGTATCATCAATGTGTCATTGATATTGTACATATATCCTCTTCTAGTGTTAGGATTGGAAAGGTACCATTGTTTTTTTTTCTTTCCTGTGGTTTGTTTATCGATCGGTTCTTTTCCGTTTTGTAACACTTTCAAATTCAATATCAACCAGAGAAAAACCAATAATTTCAAGTCGAAACGTAAGTTAATCTCAATCTGAAGACTCTTGAGGTATACATAATAGCCAACCATAATTTATAATACCGAAAAAGATTGAGCCGACTGATTTGCGTATAAAAACATACTAAAACCGAACCAAAACATATAATTTGAAAATCCATTAAAAGCTTCATTCTTTTACTTACATTACATATAATAGTTTCACGAGTTGCATTGGACGGAGGTTATTAAACAGCCGTCGTCATGACCGTTACCGGACTTAACCGTAAAAACTGTTTGGTTGGTTTAGTTAGGTCGCGTGAAGACCACGCTCTCTCAATTAGAATATTAAAGACCCATTCACAATAAAATTTGAGCCTTAAAGAGGCCCAAATAATCCATGAATCAACAAATGCAAATGAGAGAATTTTAGTAAACATAGCAATAATAGAACAAAAACAACGTAGTTAATTAGTAGTGCTAGAAGTACAAAGAAGAATTACTGAAGCAAAGCCGTGGGAAATTTTAGATACAAAACAGAAACAGTAAACAAAGATCACGAAAAATAAAAGATTTTTTGGTTTTTGTGACTATTTTATTATCCACCTTCTTGAGCTTGTGGTGGAGGAGAAGAAGAAGGAGGCTTAGGTATATAAGGATTAAGAGGGCTTCCATGTTCAATAGGACCTGGTTTTATCGAAGCTTTTGTTGTTGGAGATGGATCCACCGGAAAGTTATAATCCTCCAAACCCAATTTCGTTTCTGCATTTAGTTTTCAAAACATTCTCAATATGTGAATCCAACAAAAAAAACAAAGAAAGAGAGTGTAAAAGATTAAAAGTACCTGAAGAAACGAGTGAGACATAGAGGACTAATATTACAACCAAAAGGAAGACAAATCTTGATTTCTTCATCTTCTTCTTGAGAGATAAACAAAGAAGAAAGTTTCTTTCTTTCTTTTTTAAAGAGAGAGAGCAAGATTAGGCCATGTGGGTTTTTGGATCTCTATGTCTTGAATGTGAAGTTGTGGGTTATAATCGAGATATGTCATAGTTATTGCTA